TTGCTTTTTTTCTTCTTATTCTTTGCTTAAAAGTGAGCAAGAGCTGATCCAACCTGCTGATTGTGTTCTTATCTCTTTCTGGCGCTCGCATTCTCGGTATACAACTGTCGATCTGATCTTAATTAATCCTACCATGGGACGATCACACTGAAGGCGGATTCGGAGCAGAAACAAGGCCATTTAGGAAGCTGAGGTTGTGGATGGTAAACGATCCTCATCAAAGGTTAGTTTCAAAGAAAGGTAGCTCCCAAGTTCGAAGAATGACCAGTGGTAGTGCTAATAGGACGCAGTGGGCCGCGATTGTCAACTAGGGTGAATCTGTTTTAGCGTTAACGTCAGAAAACCACCACTAAACAATTTTTTGCCAAAGCCATTCCACGGGCTGGATGTTTCTTGTGGTCCAGAAACTACTGGCAGACAACTCTGGGATTGCGTATTTCAGTATCACAGCAATGAACGCGTCTAGTGGGCCGTGCGGTAAGTACGCGAGATGGCTTTGGGAGGAGGCTTAGTAGCGGGTTTTTTTAATACCCGCCCACAATATAGATCTTGAGAATGCACGCGCCTCTGCAGTAGGCTACTGATATTGCCTTCAATTGAATGATGGGCCCACGGGGTCAGTGTTCACTAGGCATAGGAATGCCAGAGGCCGGTTGTTTAGTTCCAGCTCTGGAATCGACGTTTAGTCAGGGCCGCACTTGTGTGCCTGGATCCCGTGTCATCAACGGATGTACTTCGTCTCCAACATAGGGTAACTTACTTGTACCTAGTACGGCTGCGTTCATGCCTTATCTAGTCGGTCTCGATTATTTAATGCAGTGTAGTTCTCCATGCCTGACGCTTTGCGGCGGCGGATATGGAATGCCCGACCCATTCTCTTATCCGGCGACAGAATCCGATCTCTGAAGGTCCAAGAGTCGCTTCCACGTCTTGGCGAACTGTGTCGAGCCAGGTCTTGATAACGTCTCCTCTTCGAGGCCTCTAAGTGAGCAGCACCTTAATTAAACATTCTTCATGCGGTCCCCAACAGCCGCTCGGACTGTTTGTTCGAGGTTGTCTTGTCTAGCGTTTTGGCTTAAGAACCTAACCACAAGGCAGTGGTGTCAAGCAAACTTACTTAATGGCGGTTCATAATCGCCATGTCATAGTGCCAGCGTTAGAATTTGTGAAAGGTCATAAGGCAGTCGGTGTGCCAGACCTCAGCCCACCGCGTTCTGATGGCACTGCCGCTGCTTGTCCACGATTGCTTATTCGCTGGACCCGAGATCCTGCTTATTTTGCGGTTAAACGTCGCTCAAGCCCGTTCGATTATCCGCCACTTGTGGACGGAACAGATGGCCAGCAAATAGGCTAACAAGTAAGCCGGGCAACACCCCTGGTTGATGTTATTTCTTCCTAACGTGAGACGCCATTCAAATGCATAAAGCCTACACGACTTAATAATCACTTGTTTTCCCAATCCACTACCTCTTCGCGAGAAGAAAAGAAATCAAGTATCCGCGAGGTGTTTTTTGCCTCTGACAAAGACATTGGTGAGGGGGTGATCAGCTTCACTGTGTTGATGTTATTATTCATTACAAGCATCCGTTTTCAGCCACCCAGCATACGTCGGGTCACATAGTACTTACGTAAATTGTGGTCATTTTGAAAATCTGGACTCTACTTGCTACATTTCCTTGATACCCGTAATGCGAACAGCTCCAGTGATGATTACATGAAGGCTTAGTGCTACTCCGTCCACATGATTCTGAATGCGCGACATGCGGATAAAACCGAAGAGGCTTGTCTTAACGTCAGCGCGATGTTTTGAGCGTCTTCGGTCATGATGCACAGGTGCAGATTGTAGACGTTTTCGGGGGTTTCAGAACTAACCAATCAGCTAGAATCAAGATTGCATCAGAAGTGACCTTTCTAAGATCAGCGCCATACCATCAACTGCTGCCAGGATCAGAGTTCTAGTGTCAACTCTTGGAACTTTTTAAGCCACACATCATGTCCGTGAACCCTTTTGTAGGACTATAACAGTATTTTAGCCGGCCGGGTTTTAGAACATTGTACAAATGAGCGAGTCGAACAATAAAGTCACCTCAGTGGGAAGAGATAGACAGGGAGCGTTAATATGGTCACTGCGAGGCACCGTATAGGTAGTGGACAGGGGTGAAGCTAACTTTTTAAGACAACGCGTGGTTCTAGAAGACCCCGGTACCTAATGAAGACACAGTCATTAGTCAGTATTTTAAGCGTGTATGCGAAATGTTGCGGAAGCCACTTTCTGTATAAATTTACCAGTGCTATGGCAACCCAATGTACGGCAAAATGTGTAGACTGGTGGTACGATTCCGAAAAACTTAATGCGTATCTTTGAACTAAAGTGCTGAGGATATTAACATGTTTCCTCAGTACAGGGGCATGCAATAGTGAAAAAGAATACGGCATCATCCACCAGCAATTCCATTCATCTCTGCAGTTCAATCCCGAAGAGATCACGGTACTACGTACGGACATTCTATCATTGGCTACTCAAAAACCCGATAAAGAACAGACTTCAAATCAACAAG